GGCATAGGTCAGGAGGTGGTGGGAGGGAGTGCCTTCTGGACACACATAGTTGGTGTAAAGCCACTTGAGGCTTTCGGCATTGAGCAAGAAACTCAAAAATCCTAGTTTGCGTTTGCTCTTAATAACATATCTCCCCATAGAGTCTGTTAAGGTGACGAAGAAGCTCTTGGCCTCATTAAAGAGGTGGGTTATTTTGGTGTAATTTCCAGCTAGTAAAGGCTCCTTAAGTCCCCTTCCATAGGGACCTCTGCCATGAAATACATCACACAGATGGCTCATCAAACGCACAAACTTGACGGTACCGCTGCAGTTCTGGAATGAGGCCAGGCCCAGCTTCTGGAGGTGTTCCAGCGCGTCAGCAACACCCTCGCTGAACAACAGGGTAGCAAGGTTGATCTTTAGGTGGTAACTCTCCTTACTCCCAGGTCCACCTGACTTGCGACTGCATGGCTCTAATACCCTCTGCTCCCGCAAAGCTGCCAGCTCCACCACATGCTGCCACTGCACAGTGTCACTGAGCCACTCTATCTTCTGGAAGCACTGCAGAGCATTCCTTATCAGCTGGAGCACATGGCAAATGTCAAAGAAGTATGTGATACTGTGAGCAGAGCCGGGCGGATGCTGGAAAGTGCACTGAATGCTTTCAGGATCTATCCTGATCCCCAGAGCTCTGGCAGTCTCAGCACCATGAGCAGTGGCGCCTGATGTCACAGCCAGCACCGTGATGCCAATGTTGTTCAGCTTATTGATAGTCTGACGAAGCAGCTGAGCAATTAAGTGGCCGGTTGTGCTGTTCACAAAGAAGTAGCCAAGTGGAGCTGTCCAGGGACTTGAGATGCCAACTGCCATGAGGATTATTGCTTCTGAGGCTAGCGGAGCTTCATCAGCATCGAGGATGCCTGCTCCCAAGTCAACAAAGCCTGTCAAGCGCTGGGTCTGTGGGTCCCACTCCTGCTGCTTCTGCAGGGACATGTCTTGCACCATCAGGGCACAGCAGCAGTAGGCCTGTTCCCCTCTCTCCACCTTTTCCTGAAGGCGGAGAAAAATGTCGTTGCTGAAGCCTGCAGCAGCCTCATTATTAGACAGCCAACTGGAAAAAAAGGGAGGATGCTATTAGATGTGATTCTGAGAAAACTGAAGCAACAGGCAGAACCTTTGACCACTTAGGACATGGTCAGCCATGTCTGGAGCTGCAGAGCAGGCTAAGACAGAGTATAAAGCAAGCAACCCTGCTTTTCTTAATGCATAGCCTGAGTTTCTTTTCTCGCCCCCTCACGTTGGAGAAGTTTGTGAAGGACTGTCTCCCATGGGAGGGACCCCATGGTGGAGCAGGGGAGGAGTGAGGAGTCCTCCCCCTGAGGAGGAAGGAGCGGCAGAGACAAGGTGTGATGAACTGACCCCAACCCCTGTTCCCCTGCGCCGTCGGGGGGAGGAGGTGGAGAGAACCAGGAGTGGGGTTGAGCCGGGAAGGAGGGAGGGGTGGGGGGAAAGTGTTCTAAGGTTTGGTTTTACTTCTCATTATCCTTGTTTCAATTTGATTGGTGGTAAATTAAATTGATTTTCTTTTTTTCCCAAGTCAAGTCTGGTTTTTGCCCATGACCATAAGTGGTGAGTGATCCCTCCCTGTTCTTGTCTTGAGGTATGAGTGTTTCTTTGTACTTCCTCCTCCCCATCCCCCGGGGGAGGGGGGAGGAGTGAGTGAGCAGCTTCATGGTGCTTTGTTGCCGGCTGGGCTTAAACCATGACAATAGTCCTATTGGTTTTGATTTCCTCTACTGATGCTTGTTCCTGCCTGAGTGTCCTCACTTGTTTTTTGCTGTTGGTGGAATACTGCAGGTGATCCCTTAACACTGCCTCCTGTTGCTGCTTTTTAGATGACCTTACTTGTATTTGCCCTTCTTTCCACTATTTAGTTCACCCATCCCCTCTCGCAAGCCTACACTCCACATCACAGGGCAAGACCATGTGCCAATGTGGTAAAGCACCTCTGCTTTTTGTATTCCTCCTTCCTCCCCAGTGAACACTAAAACATTTACAGACCCTACAGCAGCTGAGGCCCTGAAATGTAGCTTTTTTCACACCCGTACCCGTCTGGGAATACTTAGCAAACTCCACACTTACTCTAATGTGAGGAATGTGTTATTCTCATGCTGTCACCCAGATGCATGAACACATACCAGCTCTCTGAGATGAGGGGTATCAATATTTCTTGACATTTGCTTCCCACTCTGCTTCTGTTACTAAAGCAAAGCAGGGAAAAACTACTACTGCTGAATGGTTTCAGGACAGATCTGTTACACTGTTTCTACATGAGTACCTGGAAGTACATTGAGAATGCATGAATGAATAAAAACTTGCTTTGTCAGGCTGTAAGGATGAGGGAGGGGAAAAATCTTCCGTAGATAATCATAGGCCTTAATATGGTAGAGGTGGAGAATACAAGCAAATTGCCTCATTTCTGGTGAGTATTCTGCCATCTGCCTCCAGCTGTGCAACTCACAAGGCAAATCTGCTTAAAAAAAAGAGATCAGCTTTAGTGAAGCAAATAAATAGCTGATAACACAACAGCAATGCATAGTACAAACACATTGCAGAATACAAGGCAACAGGGCAGCCTCTGGAACCACTCAGTCCTGAAGTCTGGTGTGAGGTGTAGAGCTCAGCAACACTATCACCATGTCTCCTCTTCCTGGAGACAGGCAGTGGCCAGGGAGTGTATGCCTTACCATGCTGCCCGAGGCTGAGTCCCCAACACGTCTTTCCCCTCTTTTATCTAATGCCATTCCACAGTTTTGAGTAAAGACCGTGTCTCACATGTGGGTGCTGCTTAAAAATTGGCCTAACAGGAGAAAAGCCATTAACTTATGGTTGACTCTGCAATTTGAAATGGCTTCTTCAGGTTATATTATTAACGTTAACAGAGCTGGCCTCTGGACAGCACAAAAGACAAGGTTTTCTGAGTTAAATATGCTGTATTCTTGAGTCATCTGTCAGCTGAATGGTGGCACGGTTTGATTTCACAGCTTTGGTTACAGGTCTGACCCGAGCACCGTAGCCAGCCTCAAGTAATCGAGTTTTTCAGGAAGACTTTAGTTCTTTGCAGAATTGGTTGTTGCATTCCAGACCTACAAACTGCAAAGCCTTGGTAGGCTACCTACAAACTCCAGTGCCTTACAGCATCGGGCCTAGGAGTCCAACAGTTGGGGATTACTGACACCGTCAAGTCAGATACAGGAAACCGGGGAACGGGAGCGCAGACCCTGAAGTACTCCGCCTTAGCAGACGCCCCCGGCAGTACCTGAAAACTGGGCCTGCAGCAAACTCACGGTTTCCTCAGAAAGCTGCTGCTTCTCCGCCAGCTCCTGGAGGATGTTCGCCACCGTTCTGGGCCGGTGCGCGCGGGAGCACCTCCCGGCCGCAGGAGGCGGCGGCGGCGGCGGCTCCAGCGGCGGCCGTGGCTCCCCGCCCGCTGCCTGCTGCCCCTTCAGGCTGTAGTTGTGGTCCCCGGCGGCGACCCCGGCGAGGGGGCTGGGGAGAGGCTGCTTCAGGGCTCGGACGGGCGGCCCGCTCCTCCGGCCGGCGCCCAGCGGCTCCTGGCGGGGAAGGGAGAGGGGAGGTCACCGCACACCGACGCGACGCGGCCCGGCTCGGGGCGGGGAGAGGGGAGCGCGGCCGCCAGCCGCACGCACCGGGTGGGGGAAGCGGGAGGGCACGGCCCCCCGCCGCAGCTTCCGCCGCAGCCCGTAGCGCTCGAAGTCGGCCTCGGCGAAGTGCCGCGAGCAGAGGATGGCCCCGGGGCCGGGCCGCCAGGCCTGGCGGCTCCGCGGGTCCACGCGGTTCACGGCGCGGATCCACTCGCGGCGCTGCGCGGCGTCCACCGGGAACCTGGGGCAGACGGAGAGAGAGAGCGGGAGGCGAGGGTGGGCGGGCGGGGCCCGGAACGCCGCCGCGGGGGACGGCCGCACTCACTGGTGGAAGGAGATGCCGCGCTCCCGGCTCCGCCCGTTGTCGCGGGCGGTACAGCCCAGCGCCGAGCAGCTCCGCGTCATGGCTGCCCCGCCGCC